CCACACATGAGTTATGGCAATGTTTGGTACAGGCTCTACTTTGTCAGTGTCTTCACAGTTACCCTACAGCAATCTAGGTTCTGCTATCCCAAGGGCACCAAGCTTTTATCTTGATAAAAGCTGTTGTAGGCCAGCCATTTCTGCAGTGGATCAAAGGATAGACTATTTAGCAGAAAGAATCCCATCATACAGCCAATCACAAATGTTCTCAGAGTGGAGAGGATGGTCTAAAATATTTCTTTACTGTTTCCAAACTAAGCAAATTATTTCTCATATGGGCCTCCAGAAGTCCCTTCTTTCTTGATATCCTTTCTTCCTTTCCTACCATCTGTCCACCTTTGTCTACCCCTTTGTCACTGATCCTGTGTATAAGCTCTGGGAAACCCCTCCCTGGTTTCATCCAAAGAGGGGATGGTGAGTTCTCACTTTATTTGGAGAAAAGACATTTTGAGGATTAAATAATATAATCCAAGCAAAGCACTTAGCTCAGTATCTATCATAAAGAAAGTATTCAGTGATATTAGCTACCATTATCTTGATAGGCAATGTGCCAACTTCAATCACCATGATTTTAAAATTTGTATCAGTGGGGGTCTCCTATGTAAATATTTTCTTCTCCCTAAATTCTTTTTATTCCTCTATGGTAAAATGGACTTCTCACCACCTCTATTCCTGTGCATCCTCACCTCTGCCCAGGAGGGATTTTTCTAGTAGAATAACACATCTGTGTTATGCATGAGACAGGCTGGTTTTTAAAGGCCTCTGCTCCAAATAAAGTGAGAACTCACCATCCCCTCTTTGGATGGGGATTTGTAGATGGGGAAAGAGATTAGGAAGATTAAATTGCTTGCTTATAATTAGACCATCCTGACTTTGGGATCAGAAGATGATGTGTACTGTCCACATTATAGTTACTTGTGTATAAGAGTCAATCCTAGATTAAATTAAAAGGACTTGGAAGTCAAAAAGTTTTATACCCACCCACCACTCCATAACACATACTCCAGGAGAGCTTAGAACAGTGACCTGCACATATTAAGAACTAACAAATATTTGTGACGTGCATGAAGGCACAAGAGGATTTGCATAGGTTAATGAAGGCATATACCACATTTTGGGAGTTATAGTCAAGTGTTCACTCTTTAAGTTTACACATATAGAAATAAGAAGTGAAATATAGCAATGACAGGGAAATATTTAAAAAGAGAAATGAAAGACCTTAGCCAGAAATGAAAACAAGATAAACATCATCCCGGACCAGAAATGGAATAGAGATGGAAAATGATGAGCTGGCTGAACCCAAAAGCCCATGAAGCTCTGGGTCTGGACACAGGCAGTGGCTACCAGGAGGCAAGTTTCTGTGGGGTAAAGGGCACTGCAAGTTTTCCATCACACATGGGGCAGGAGCCAGGCTCATAGCATGAAGGCAGGGGTTCAGGTGGGGCTCTCCTTAATCATAAAAAGAGACTAAATAACAAAAGAAAAATAATGTGGCAAGTGTCCTTCTGAAGCTCTGGTCTTTAGAGACCTGAGGATCTGAGAAATCAGCATGTCGATTCATCAAAATACGAGACAGTAAGCCAAGTTGCCTGCTGGCTCTGCAAGAGGATCTACTATCTCCTGTATCTTAGTGGAACAGACATCCAACACTGTTCTTACTCTTCTTAATTTAGAGGCTCAGAGGGCTAGGAGGAGGCAGTTGGAAATCTGCTAGCCTGAGAGGGAGAGACAAAAATACTATGGAATCTAATATTTAAAAAGCCAACAAAATCAACAATGAAAACATTCTTATAGAATATTTTATAGACTCAGTTTTATAGACTATTTTTGGCAAAACCTTTAAATAAGTATGCTAAATGTGTTGAAAAAGAAAAGGAGGCATTACTTCTTTTAACAAAAAAAGGAAAAACTTCATAAGATAAAAACAAGGAAAAATGAAACAGGTACAATAACAAAGAAAAAGAACCAACTATAAACTTGGAAATGAAAACTATGATATCAAAATGAAAATAGAATAAATTCCAGAAAGGCCAGAGTTGAAGAAAGACTGGCTATTTGGACAATAATAGATAGAACACAACCTGCTTTTCAGTTCATGTCACAAAGAAAATACCTACTAGGTCTTGACTTTTTCTTCCCAAAGGCAATCTAACATCTCTGAGATGTGGCTTTGAGTCTACTTAAGCCCTTCCAGACTTAGTTTAGTAATCATCTCTGATGAGAGCTTTCCAGGAGTAAATGCATCCTGTTTCTGTATTTTAAGGATATTCAGTCACCACGAAAGTGTATGTAGCCCCACTTTGCTACAATAAGGATCCTGAAGCAACGAGAAGTGACTTGTCTCTTCCACTCTCTTCAAGTCCATTTTGGTGATCAAAGACAGAGATGGAGCATGCCTGAGTGATTCAGTGACCACACCTCTGTGCTCTACTAGAGTCCAGAATGTGAGGGGCCCAAACTGGAAGGCCCTTCAACCCCAAGATGGAGAGGGACACATTCTTCAATGAGAGAACATCGATCTCTGTTGCCAAGAGTTGCAGAGGAAAGAGTTTGGGAATTAGAGGAGGTGTTGATTGCCTAAAGAGAGATTGTTGCCTAAAGAGAGAAATGCTGCTCATGGGTTTTGTGTAGTCCAGGACAAAATCAGTCTCCACAAGAAGGCTTGTGTATGTGACTGTGGGGAGGTCCCATTCCTGGTTGGGCTACTAGGTGTGTGGAGGATAAGATGCATCAAAAAAGGCACCTTATCAGGTACTGTATTCTAGAGCTCTTGCCCCTGCTCAAGGGGACTAGGAGGGCTTGTAGCTGAAGGTGGCATGCCATACCTGAGATAGTGGCTCCCCTTGAAAGGAGCCTTCTGTTTGAAGCACAGAAAATAGACGTATGCTGGGAAACTGGGGGGCATTGTGGGACCTGAGGCTGCAGAACAGAACGTGTATGTTGACTTTTCTTTCAGTTTATTCAAACTTTTAAAAATACTATGGGGGCGCCTTGGTGGCTCAGTTGTTAGGCGTCTGCCTTTGGCTCAGGTCATGATCCTAGGGTCTTGGGATCAGGCCCCGCATCGGGCTCCCTGCTCAGCGGGAAGCCCGCTTCTCCCTCTCCCACTCCCCCTGCTTGTGTTCCCTCTCTTGCTGTGTCTCTCTCTGTCAAATACATAAATAAAATAAAAATACTGTGGACATTGCACTTGCCATTTGAAGGGTTGCTGCTCACCATTATTGAAGATTTGAGTAAAGTTAATATTCCCTGGAGTCTTTAATGCATAGGCATCTTCTACACAAAGCTGCATAAACAGAGGTGGCAGCCTGAAAGTAGATTAAAGAGTTTGACTCATTTTATTTGGAGCATCCTCTTAGTGGTGGTTGCACTGAGGAGTTTTGCTCGTACCTTGATCTTACATAGTCTCAACCTGAGCACTACCTCCTTCTGGCTCCCTTGCAATGCCATGCTAGATCCAAAGTGTGTATGCTGGCCTCTGGAGGCATCTCTCCTGTCCCTACCCACATCTGGTCTGCTCACTCATCTCCTCTGGTCAAACTTCCTTTCTACCCTTTAGCAACTCTTAATCTCCAGAAAATTCTGCCTCCCCTCAATTTCTTTTCATTTTTTCCTGTCTCTGTTATTTGTTTTGTTTCCCTAGAAACACAGAGCTGGAAGATACTGTAGGAATTACCTAGTTCAGCACCCACATCTTACAGATGAGGCCCAGAAAGTATAAGGTGTGTGGGTATGTGTGTATGTGTGTGTGTGTTTTAGTGAGCCATGGGATCTGGCTCTTCTCAGAGAGCTGGCTATGTTTCTCAGACTTTACGTCAATAGGGTCTCTCAGGGTGGCAGACTCTTCCTGCAGCCCTTGAGAACACCCCAGAAGTCCAGCAATGCAGTCATTCTGAAAGTATCTGCTCTGTCTTGGGAATAGGCTGAGTCTGTCTCTGATCTTTTTGGACTCTTTGCATAGTCTGACCCAGTGTGCTTCTTCTCCAGCTTCCTGACAATCCTGATGTCATCCAGAATGTTCTTGCCCCAGCCTGACCTGATTCTCCATCTCATTGCTTCTGTCTAATATTGATCTCCTTGCCATGGAATTTGCTTACTGATCCAGCAGCAGGTTGCATCATTCTGCTCCTCCTAAATGTTTCTTGATGCCCCTTGGTGGCCATGAGCAGGGATCAGTTGCTAGGTTACACTGGGATCAACTCAGCCCCCAGCTCCACAGAGACTGAGACATGATCCATCTGCACCTGCATGCCATGCCTGCCAAGACAATGTGCTGAGGAAGATATTTGCAGATTTCAGGGCTGATGAGGATGGGGCTCTCAGAGAGTTCTTGCTGGACATCTGTGACCCAGGGCTTCTCTTAAGGGAGAATAAAGTGAGGCAAACTTAAATGGGCTTAGAACCATAGAATGTTAGTCCTGAATGATAAGTAAAAGTTAATCTAGATAAGAGCAGTGGGCATCAGATTTAAGAAGCATCTACATCGTCTTGGGGGATTATTAAAAATTCAGATGTGGGGGCCCTACCCACAGAGAGTAGGTTTACTTGGTCCATAGTAAAGCCCAGGAAAGTGACTTTCTAATAAGCACAAATGACTCTAATTTGGAGCTCCTCAATATGCATACCTCCTGCTGCTGCAAATAAGGAAACTGAGGGCCAGGACCTCTTGGTCCTCCACCCAGGTGCAGCAGGCTGTGGCTCCCTAGCCCTGTAGAGAGGAGATCTCTAACTTCGATTTCAGGCCTCTACATGGCCATGGCTCTGTCCTTGGCTCAGTGAGAGGTGGGCTGTGCTCCCAGAAGTGTACCTGGAGGAAAGAAAAGAAACCAAGGGTATGAAGGAGAGTGGCACAGAAAGAGAATTGGAAAAGCAGTGAGGACAGCTGCAAGTGTTTCCTCACTTTGCTGATGGAAATTACTGAGCCAAAAGCATCCAGTCAACTCTGGAAAAAGAGCCATCAACCACCTGCCAACCCACTAAATGTGTAGTCAGTCACTCACCTAATGAAACACAACATGAATGTCTGCTGAAGCCTTTCTTTCTTCCAGCCTCATCTTCTTCCTTCTCCATCCTCCTCCTCCTCTTCTTCCTTATTTTACTCCCCGAAGTATAATGTGAAATACCAATCTGGAGAGAGAAATTAATACAAATGTTGCATTGTGTACACTATGTCCAAAAGTTTTTAAATGTGACACCGTACAAATGCAAATATGTCAAGGTGTCCCCTAGTTTCCAAAGTCCACCAGGAGTGATGCAGCAGCATAGTCCTGCCTTCTTGGCATTCCTCGCACTTCCTTTTCTCAAAGGGATGCTGGTGATTGAGTGTTACTTACTCAGAGAGAGTGCAGAAGAGGAGACATTAACAGTTTTCTAGCAGAAATGCTTTTTAAAAAATGATTTTATCTTTCAATCTGAGTTCCTCTTTAAAATCAAAATAGCCATTCAGCTCTTTTGCGCCTAGTGTGCAATTTCAAATTACATCCTCTTGCAGTTTTCCCAGTGCTTGCCAAGACCTCGCAGATGAGAGGATGTTTTATACCTTCAGTATAAGTTTTGTTCCACTTACACACATTAATCACCAAATGCCAAGAAGTGGCAAATATATGGGAAAAAACAGGCAGCATAAATTACATTTTAAGGTGAGCAGATAAGAGCAAAGTCAACATCTCCATGTACCACCTCAAATCTCTTTTGGAATTAGATGGTGGTATAAATTTGAAGCTGTAAATATGTAAGACAGTTCTGCACTGTTATACTAACATCATAAGAACAAACCACTTTTTCCCCCTTCTGAATGTACCTGAATTTGAACCAGAAGTCAGAATGGTTTTAGCGAAACACAAAAATGTGCTAAAGAAAAGCAAATTTGAACTGGGATTTTTTTTTTTTAATCACTAAATGAAAGTAATCATCATCACACATTGCAGCTACTTTAGAGCTCCGGTCACACTGTGACAAAAATTCCTGGGTAAATGATCCTCTTCACTCTGTTGAATAACACTGCACACATGGACTTACTTAAAATCTGACAGTTACAGTGCTAATCATTCCTGTAATGAGATAGCTGGTTAAGAGAAAAACAGTGGAAGAAGTCCAGAAGATAAAATATAACGAGTAGCCCTGCGTGGGTTTGGAAAACCCCACACAGACATGTGTTAAAAGTGTCGGTTCTCAAGATGTGCTGGACGATTCTGGACCCCACTGCTTTTGGTGAAGAGGTGTCTCTCATGAGCGATCCCCCAGGAGATGCTAAGTGACAGTTCAACAAATGATGGTAAAGGTAGATGCATCCATCTCTGTACAGGCTGAGCCTAACAACTGGATACCTCTGGATCTTATGAAGAACTTTTGGGGGAAATGAAGTACTGTTTAGCATGCTTAAGTATCAAAAGTGATTTCATTGTGGTTTTGTAGAAGAAACATTATTTTGCTCATAAAAAGTATCATATATTATTTATTGGACCCAATGCCAAAATCATAATCTAAGGATGCAGCAATATTCTAACAATTCTGGGCAAAAGATATACAACTGTATGATTAAAAATAAGTATATTGACATCAATAAATATAAAATGCAATAAATTTGCTGATGAATAAAATTCTACACCTTTCAGGTCATACTGTAAGTGCAAATAACATTTTTGCCTTTCAAAGAATGCCAGTACCTAAGTCAGCCATAATATAAAATGTATGTGAGTGGATTTTTTTAGCACTTTGGACAAAGTAAATATATCATGGAAAATTCAAGAAAGTGGCAAGACACAATAAACTAATCGAAAATAACTCATAGAGCCAAAGTGCACATAAACAAAAAATAATAATATTAATAACTGATAGAAAGCTTTAAACTACATAATAAATTTGAAAGAATTCCAATATCATGTGTATGCATGCAACAAAACCAAATAATTCCCTGACTGTGAGTAAACAAGGAGAAACATGAATTCTAATAGATACTACCTTGAACTTGTTATTATAATGATTCTATTGGTTTTAAGTCATAGCTTATCTTGAAGCAAATATATATCTCAAACGTTAGTAAAATAATACCAAATCTACTCACCATTTGGCTTCAGGCTTGTTACCTTTTGTTTAACAAACACACGCCACCACCACCCCACCACCCCCAATGCCAGATCCCTCCATAGGAGTAGTACTAACACTCTTGTCCTGATGTCCACCCTCAAACCTTGGAGGCCTGGCCTGACAATTGATCTAGGAGCTCATTGGATATGGGAAAAACTTGTTGTATTTGGAGGCTGAGGGAATGTGTGTTGCAGCCAACAAATCCAGGATTTTTGGATAACTGTAGTAATGGCTAATAGATTGATGTGTTTTGTTATTTTAATTTTCTCTTTAGCAAAAAGGCAACACCAATAACATACTGCATTTTTGAGTGGAATACCTGAAGGTTTTACTAATCCAGTACAATCAGTTGATTTGCTTAGCCAAAAGGAAAAGGGGACCATGACTGGCTTTTATTAGTGGAGTCTTGTACCCCAAAGTGGAAAGCCCTGGCAGAAGTGAGTATAAAGAGGCATGACAACTAACACTGAGAAAGAAGGGGAGGCGCATGCTGACAAGGAGCCTGTGGTCCAGGATTAATGATGATCGAACAGTACTTACAAGTGAAAGGAAATGATAGTAGTAATTAGAAAGATTGCCTTAATTGGAACATTAATGTTCTGAGGGACAACTGTGCTGAAACTCCTCAGGAATTCATTTAGCTGTCATAGCCCTGGGCCAATCTTGCATATTGATACCAGGGACTTTCCAAAGCAGTAATAACAAAAAACATATTTCAGGACCACAAGAGTGTCTACACTTCAGCCCACAGTTTACCATGGTCTGTGTCAACATCTGAGTCTGGAGCTGCAAAATGAGCAGCGGACAAATTGAACACAAATTGTGTAATGAATGATACTTATATGCCCGAGGATTAATTATATTGAAATTGTATATCCACTGAATCTGCTCTGTCTCATAAAATAAGGAAATGCACATTTTAGAAATTTTCCCATTCAAATGAACTATATATAAGATTTAAAAGGTTTGAAGGTATCTGAATAAACTTGGCCATCCAGAAATTCTTCATTCCCCAAGCGCTCTGGATTGTGGAACACTTAAAATACTGTGCAGATTGGGGTGCCTGGGTGGCTCAGTTGGTTAAGCGTCTGCCTTCTGCTCAGGTCATGATGTGGGGGTGGGGGCCTGGGATCTAGCCCCACATAGGGCTCCCTGCTCAGCAGGGAGTCTACTTCTCCCTCTGCCCCTCCTCCTGCTTGTGCTTGTGTTCCCTCTCTTTCTCTCTCTCAAATAAATAAAATCTTTAAAAAAATCATTTATCTTCTTTCACCTCTTCACCTCCTATCTATACACCATGGTGTTCATTTTGTTGCACATAGCTTTCCAATTTCCCTTTTTTAAAATTACAAACTCTTTTGTTTCAGTCTCCCCCCGCTTCTTCTCTCTTTTCTTCCCTTGTGGAAGCTATATTCACAGTACAGACAAAATGTCTACCTACTGAACGTTCTTTATTACAAGTTACAATGTATGTGCACATTGTCTCTCAGAAGAAAAAGAAGAGAGTCCTTGCAGTCCTCCACTATGTGGCTTTCTGCAGCCTTCTCAACACTGATCCTAGAATTTGAGTTTGAAGAGACCATACACATAGTCTGGCTTACTATTCTTATTTGCTGGCTGAAGACAATAAAGGTGTCATGTTATTTTCTATTAGCTCCAGCCCAGTGCTTGTCCCACTGCATAAGAATTCTCCACCTCCACCCCCACTTCCTCTTCTTATTGATGGTAATGTGCCCTGAAGGTTCAGGTTGCTTGTTTGGGGAGGAGGGAGTGAAGTGGGTGGTAGGAAGGGAGCTGGATGGATACTGTTTGTCCAGAATATTATGAGGATGCATGAACATTGCAAATATAATAATTGTACTTTCTCAAGGGGAAAGCCCCTAAAGTAAACATAAAACATTATTAAGAATCAGATATAGTTTGTTTAACCACAATATGGTTAACATCCAGATGTGAAATATGGAATTTAGAAATACATGCATTCAGAACTAATCTCTTTTCCTTCCTGAACATTCAGATTGGTATGCTACAGAATTTAAACATCTTCTTCAGTCTCCCTGTGGCTATGCTTACAAATATGTCCAGCAGTGCTGTAAATATGTAAACAAAATGCTGTGGAAAAATGACTTCTTTTTCAGAAAGTGCATACAAGACATCCACCATAGGTTTTTCTTCAAATCCAAAAGGATTTAGCTGTTCTTTTTCCTATTCTATGAGCCATGGTGCTAGCACACTGACCTGGTCAAGCAGAACTCCAGGGCTCTGCCTCAACTTTCCCAGGTTTCCTTCTATGTTCCCCGGTGGCCCCAGGGAGCAACTCATCTCCTGGGGACAATACATTGCTGGGAAGGGCATTCTGTAAAACTCTGTATAAAGATCTTCTGAACTTTGCGTAGAGCACCCTCATTGAAACACGCCTACTTGGGGAGCAACCTCCATGCAATTTACATATAATGCCAGTCAGAGCCAGCTGTAGCCAAAATTGTGACCAGGCATTAGTTGCTTCCAGAACATTCTGTACGCTTTGCCCTTTGGTGACTTGGTGACCTTTAGTATTCACATTATTACAAAGGAAGTTTTGAAGAGTCTGTGAAGTTGCTTTATCTTAATGAGATTATGACAAATAAAAAATTAGTGGTCCAGTTCAAAGCATGCTTATAGAGGAAAATGATGAATAGCAGTTTGGATACAGAAATAAATTAAAGAATGATTTATATCCAAGCCAAAATCCATAACAGACACCAGCCTGAATTTAAAAATGAAAATAAAAACAAACAAACAAAAAAAACTTTGGGGCTTATGGAAAAACTAAGGTGGGGGGAAAAAAAACAGTTGTCATGAGAAAGACAGCTTTAGTTGTTTTTTAAAAGGCAGTGTGGTTGAGTTTAAAACCCATTAAGTCAATGAACTACTACTTTCTGAGTTCAAAAAGTGACACTTTCATTTGCTTCATTGTCCTTGAATTTAGTGCTTTTACACTGGAGATCCATCATTTATTTTTTTTAACACTTAAAAAATCTGCTTCACTTTTCCAAATCTTTCCCTCTCCTCTTCGTCTTATCTACATGTACTTCATTTTCCCCCTCTTACAAAAGCCTTAGAAAGGGGAAGGAGAGGAAGAAAAAAGATTTAACAATCAGAGGCTTAAGTAAAATTTTGATAACAGTTTTCATCAAGCTTCTGCAGTCACAACTACAAGAAATTGAGTGTTTTCAGATACTCTAAACAGCTTCTGACACTCTGAGAAAGAGGGTGCTGATTAATCTACCATTCATCGAACAGGATTGACTACTAAATGGGAACTAGAGGAAGAGGTGAACCAGTTTATCAAATGTTCCAGGAGCATTCCTATGTAAAGGCTCTGGTGTTGGGACTCCTGCACCTGTCCCTCTTCTGACCTGCCCACCACCCTCTCGAAGCTCCTCACTGTCTGAATAAGCCCTTCCCCATTTTTTCACAAATATTTATTGAACAACTATTACATGCCTGATACTATTCTAGGTCCCTGCCTTCATGGAATGTACATTCTAATTGGGAGAGAAAGAGAGACAATAACATCTCATTATCCCAAGAGCTAAGTGATTAAAAAATATATATGAAAGAGAATGACTTCGCTGGGTATTAAAAGTGGCAGTCAGAGAAGGCCCCTAAGACCATTTAATATTACATGTCAGCTGCCTTCTCCCTGAGATGCTACAGCTCGGAAACTAGGTCTTCATTTCTGTCTGAAGGGATGAAAAACTTTTAAAGAATAGTCAAATATGGAATAATATGCAAGTATTTACCCTTGGAATATAAACACTAAGAGAACATAAGGAAGCTAGAAATAAGAATAACTATTATAGACAGAACTATTTGGTGAAGTTTTGTAAATGGCCTCCATTCTTAAAATATAATATCCTCAATTCTGCCCCCTTTTGCCCCAAGAGCCAAGAAGTTTCCTGCAAACTTACCAGGAGAGGTGTGGTATCTTTGCAGAATCTCAGGGAAATGCTGCCATCAGCTTCTGCCCCTAAGAGATATGGTGCCCTGTAAAGGGATGAGATGAGGTGTAGTTCAAGGGAGATGAGTGGCAGAAAGGCCATCAGAATCTTGGTGAAATCTAATCCTAGTCTTGCATGGTGGCCAAATTGCCTGAGCGTTCCCCATAGCCTTCCCCAAACTTGAGAGAAATATAGTTCTCCAAGAGGAGAATGGTTGTTTCCTTTGGTTATTGAACTTTGATGATAGAAATGTGGTTCTAATTTGTTCCAACTATGCTGTGTTTCCAATCTTATATTATGCTTGACATTAATTTTTTCTAACCTTTTTTTTCTTTTTGTTCCTAAACAGCTCAGAAAGGGAAACATGGTAGTAATCATACAAGCTTAACGTGCTGATCCCAGTCTTTATGGCATCTCCTTTCTAAAAGTCTAAAATCTGGCCAAGAGTCAGGAGAGGATGGTTTAGGAGATATTCAGTGACCAAGCATACAAGCCTACCATGCCCCTCCCCTCAGTACAGTGTATTTCACAGACCCTCACAGTCCCTTGTCACATATCACACCCCTGATTCAGAAGAGAGTTGCTAAGAAGGAGGGGTTTCTCATTTTTAGTTCCATCATTTGTGTTGATACAACCTTTTAGGTTTAACAGAAAAAAAATAGGATAGGCAAGGTTAAACTTGTATCTGAACCTTTCTTCTTAAATAGTTTTTGGATTTTTAAGGTAATTATTTTGATCCCTAATTTTCATTTTTTTTCCTTGAGAACTTTAAACATTTTTCCTTAACTGAAGAATCTTAAGAATAAATGCAAAGTACTTTATTTAACATGTTGCAGAGGAAAAGTCTACACAAAATATTATAATTGTTTATCAGTTTGTAGGATGACCCTACGTTAAAAGCTTCTACTTTTTAATGGCGATGGAAAGCATTTTTAAAACTGAATCTTATGTAAAGTACCAACATATAAAGTCAATAAAATTTGGTTGTTCTCATTAAAATGGAGGTGGAAAGACTTCAATGTCCTCTTCTTTCACAAACACACACCACACACATAAGAAACACATTCGTACCATGCACCGAGGAGGTCCTGATGTGTGTCCCCAGAATAGAAGGCTCTGAGGGATGCAATCTTAGAGTCAGTTTTTGGGGGACCTCAATCCTTCTAGCTTCACAACATCACATTTTATAGGTGGCCATATTGGTTATACTGAATGTGATTACCTTTTTGGTGTGTCTAGCATTTGATTTTTGCTTATTCATTTCCAAACACTATCCAGGAAATTTAAAAGGCACCACATTTAACTCATTTTTTAATTTCTCCTTTTATACCCTTTTATGAAAATAAAAATAAATAAGTTAGTAATCAAGTTGCTTTGAAAGGAGCCTAGAAATTTTACCTGGATCTGCTCTTAGTCTTAAATTTTTTGGTTTTTATTTGTTACTCTGTTAAATATTCACCGAACTCCTTCTATACACAAGGCAATTAATTGTCTAAACCAACCAGATTAAGGCAGCATTGTTAAATGGGAAGGACATGGGCTTTGGAGTTATCCCAATTCAACCAGTTAGTGTGTCGTCGCACTGTGCCTCAGTTTCTTCATCTGTAAATTGGGGATAATACCTAACTTGCAGTGTGGTTTTGCAGTGTGAGGCTCAATGGGATAATGCATATGAAAATGCCTATCCTAGCACTTGGCCCAAACACCCAATTTCCCTTTAAGTGGGAAGAAGAAGAGGGAGGGGTGTGGCTAATAAGTTTTCTGTGGCTTAACAAAGAGTGCAGGGTAAAAGCCTGACATCTAGTGGTCAGAATGACAGTTGCACCTCATTTTGTAGGGTTGAGTCTCAGAAGTTCCCAACTTGGATCTGCATCAGAATCACCTGGAGAACAAAGCCCCTCTCATGAAGATCGTGATACTGTAGGTCCAAGCGAAGACCAGGGAAGATCTAGCTTTAAGAGCTCCCCAAAATGATTCTTATACCACCTGCTAGTCATAGATAATTTGAGGTCACTAACCCAAAGATTAAGAGAAGAAAGGCTGGTAGTTGAGAAAGGTCTTTATTTTAAGCTTTTCATAAAAAGAGATCTTGTGCCTGCAGGAACATAAAGGCAAGAAAGTACTTTATGAAAAAGTGGATTTCCAGGTGTGCCAAGTCAAGCAAACCTAACCAAAACTAAGAATGATCTCATAGAGAAAGAGCAGTAACCATAGCTCCTTCTATATATATTATATATGTATATATAATTGAGGGAAACCTACCAAAAAGCACTACACTTAATCTCTCAATACAGTTTATTGAGAAACACAGAAAATCAGTTATAGCATTTCTATGCATTTGAGAAGCACTTATCCAACAAATATTAATTTACCATTAGCTATGTTCCAAGAACAATGTTGACCCTTAAGAGTATAACCTGAGTAATATTGATTCAGTATATTCTCCTACAGATCTCATGGGCTGCTGGGGAGATGAACAAGTAATCAGACTATTAAATGGCATCTTAAGAGTCTTAAGACATAGAAAGGAAAGAAAGGTATGAAAGTATGTAAAAAGCTATCTGTATTAGTTTTCTGTTGCTGCTTCAACAAATTACCACGGACTTAGAGGCTTAAAACAACACAAAGTTTTAATCCTACAGCTCTGAAGTTTAGACATCCAAAATGAGACTTATGGGGCTAAATCATGGTGTCTACAGAGCTGTGTTCCTTTGGAAAGAATCTGCTTCCTTGCCTTTTCCAGATTCTAGGAGCTCCCTGTGTTTCCTGGCTCATTGCTTCATCATTCTGACCTTGGCTTCCATTGTCACATCTTCTCTGATTCTGACTCTCCTGATTCCCTCTTATAAGGACCCTTGTGATTACATTGGGCCCATCTGGGTAATCCAAGATCATCTCCCCACTCCAGTCTCCTTAACTTAATCACATCTTGCAAAGTCCCTTTTGCTACACAAGGTAATATAGTCACAGGTTTCGGCATTAAGACATGGATATCTTTGGGGAGCCATTATCCTGCCTACCACATCATTTCACCCAGACTTGGGTAATAAGGGTGAGAAGGCATTCCTGGAAGAAGAGATATCTGAACTGAAACTTAAATGATAAAATATTATATTTCCAGGAAGAAAAAAACGGTGAGATATGTGAAGAAGGTGATCAGTCATAAGTAAGATTTCTCAAAGTGGAAACATGTGAGAAGACCCAGAGGCGAAAGGAAGTATGCCTGTGGAACTAAAGACAGTGCTTTAGGGCTCTGTGGTAGGTGGAAGAGGGAGGGGATAAGAAGGCACTAAAAATAATCAGAGGCCTGAGTATGGAGAATAATGTCAAAAGCTGAATTATGTGACTTTGGAATTTATCCTGTGAGTAGCAGAGAGCTAAACTAAAGAACTTTAATTGGAAATATTTCACTCTGGTGTGAAGTGAAGCTTGGAAAAGGTTATAGTTGGAGGCTGACCTACATAGAAATCCAGAGGAGAGATGATATAGCTGCCTAATCTGAGGGTTTGGTGGCTAATGACACTGGTTCATGCTACAAGGCCCCTTCACCTACCTTCTATGTGGTAGGTGCAAAATGCTTAACCTCTTTATACCTCATTTTCCTTATCTGTAAAAATAAGAATAACACTAGAGCTCACTGGAACTTACCCAGTTGCAGTGTTCTTTTTTTTTTTTTAATTTTATTTTGTTATGTTAATCACCATACAATACATCATTAGTTTTTTGATGTAGTGATCCATGATTCATTGTTCTGAGGAATAAATGCAGAAATACATTTAAAGCACTTAGTATAGAACCTGGTACATAACAAAGGTCCAGTAAACATTAACAGTTGTTATTTAATGGTCATTTCAGTAGGAATGGAGACAATTGAGCAGATTCAAGAGGTATTTAAAAGAAAGAATGAGGTAGACCAGGAAGCCAAGGCTAATGCTCTGATGTCTAGGTGAGCAGTTGATTTAATGGTGCAACAGATAATGGTGCCCCAGGACACAAGGAAAGAACTAAGGTGTGAATATATGTGTGCGTGGGGTATAAGGGAAGTGATTGGTTCAGTTTCTGACATGTTGAGTTTGAAAGTGATTGTGAGAATCTTGAGAGATCCAATAGACATTTGGTGGATATGTTTAGAAAGATTTGAGCTGGACATCTCTACTTGGGAGTCATTAATTGAATCCAGAAGAGTGAATGAGATCACCTGGAAGCACATATAAAGTAAGGGAAGGAAGACCTAGGATAGATGTGAATGAAGAGGACTCTGCATTTTCCTTCTCATGGCATTTGTGACATTGAATTGTAATTGGTGTTTATTGTCTCTGCCACATGACCCCATTATACTGCAAGCTCCCTGGAGGCAATGATAAAGTCTAACTTGCCCGCTGTTGTACCTTGAAAGGGTAATATCTGGCTGGCATAGAACCACACTGAATAAATATCTTCAGTTGACTTATTAAATTATAGGCATCCTTCAAAACCAAAAAAGGTTTAGTATAATATATAGTAGAAAGAAGTTGTGAAAGATCTTTGAAAGTCTGAGCATGAAGACAGTTAATATTGTAGCAATATGCATATGGTATTGGGTAGTTTTAATAATGACGTGTATGGGAATTTGGTAAGTAAAAGTAGAACAATCACTCTAAGATGAGCTATGAAGGAAGAATTGACAGAATGTGGTCATTGGATAGTGATGATGGTGATGGTGGTGATGATAATGATGGTAGGCAAAAATGAGACTTATGGAATGACAGTGTCATTAAAAATAGGATAAATGGCCATTTATATCCCTGGGTGATTCAAGTACAATCTTGTCTAGTGACAGATCTTTTTCTAGTCCAATAGTTCTGGGGTAATGGCAGCCTTATAATGGGCATCCTAGGTCAAAGCCTAAAATATTCCTTTTCATATATTTACATAGTCATTCCACAAACATTCATTGAGCACCTACTGCATATCAGGACACAAAAATTAGTGAGACTGCCTAAGAGGGAGTGATATGATATGATACATCACTGGTATAAAAGGAAATGTAAACAAATTAGCTACAATATTGATTTTATAGTCTAGATATAGGACACTCTATCAAAATTGCTTTCCCTGGTCAATAATGACCTCCATGTTGCCAAACTAAATAGTCAATTCTATGTCCTCATGTTATTTGACCTATCAGTAACATCTGAGAGAATTGATCACTCCCTATTCTTGTAATACTTTATTCCCTTGGCTCCCTAGTTTGATTTTGCTGCCTAGTCCTCTTTAATCTCCTTCAGTGATTCTTCCTCTCTTCCATGACTTCTAAACATCAGAGTACCTCTGAACTTAGTACTTGGATCTTTTCTCTATCTATACTCACTTCCTCAGTGATCTCATCTAATGTCTTGGCTTTAAATGTGCTGAAGAATTTTATATTTTTACTTCAAGACTGAAATTTTCCCTTAATTTCCAGGTCATGTAATCAAATATCAAACTGAAATCTCCTCTTGGGTGTCTAGTAGGTATCTCAAACTTAACATGTCCAAAATCCAATTCCTGACTATCCCTTCAAAACCAGCTCTTCCCAAGTCTTCCCCTCTTAGTCATGGCAACTTGATCCTTCTAATTGCTCTGGCCAAAATATATGGACTCATCTCTGACTCCTGTCTTTCTCTAGCACCCAACAGACAATCTATCAGAAAATCTTCCAGCTTTATTGTCACATTATATCCAGGATCTCATTTCTTTCACCACTATCAAATTTCTCCACACCATAGGCATCCCTTACTTGGACAATTGCAAGAGTTCCTAACTGTTCTCCTGCTTCTACACTTGCCTTCCTATAGCCTTGTCTGAACACAGAAACCAGATGATCCTGTTAAACATGTTGGATTACTCTTCCACTCAAACCCTGCTTTTTATCTCAGAGAAAAAGCCAGAATCATGATTACCTATCAGACCTCAGATCCTCCTCTTGCTCATTCTTCTTGAGTCATACCAGCCTCCTTGATATTTCTCAAACATGCCAGACGTTTGTTTGTTCCTTCCGCCTGGAACAGTTTACTCTCAGATAATGATGGCTCATTCCTTTACCTCCTTTTAGATCTTTGCCCAAATGTGAAGTTGGGAAGAGAGGCACAATCGGCTCTTTTGAACTGGTACTGGCAGACTACAGTGCACCACTGGGAGGCTAACTTGTGTGAGTTCATTTAGTTTCTTTCCTCTATGAGATTTAAAGACCTATCCCTCAAATGCCTGAAAGATTCTGATAGCACTAAAAAAAAAAACAAACCACCTTGGGAATATCAAATTATGTCTCTTTCCTCAAATAGGCCTCTTCCCAGCAAAACACAGAGAGAGTGACATGATTGGCCATGTAGTCCTTTGGTTTAGGATGTGAAAGTTGGACCAGAGGGAAAGTGGAGAGAAGGGCTACCCAGTGAACTTCACTTGTGCTCAGCTTTTAAAGACCTGCTCATTCTGGGCATAGCCTAGATAACAAGACAGTCCTTGTCCTCAGAGGCTCATAACGTATTTCATTCAAAAGTCCTGCTGGGTAAGAATCAGTCCCTAGTTAAAACAGCAAGTAGACCCACAAATCTGAAAAGAAAAATGAGAACAAGTTTAGATGGGCAGATTTATCTAACCCTCTAAAATTGCAAAACTCACAATTCTAAGGCAACTGTTTTCCCTTCAAAAGAGTTAGAAAGAAAACATTTTTCTTGGAGAAACATCTAAGATGATTTGAATAGGGATTAAATATATATTCCCAGCCCCTAGTAACCTGCCAATATGAACCCAAAAATATGAATAAAGTTTAAAGGCAATAAGTCTTTTTTAAAGTGCTTAAAATGTGCCAGATATTGTGCAGACTGTTTTATATAAATTAGTTCATTTAACCTTCACAAAAACTCTCAAGTTAAGTGTTACTCTCCCTATTGTGTAAATGGGGAAACTGACACTCAGAGAGGTCAGATAAATTGGCTCAGGTTGGTGGTAAATGACAGGGTCAGGTCTATTCCCCCCCAAAGCCATGTGCCTTCCACTATCCCAGGTACTGAAGACAGGTAAAAGGGATGTGGGCAATATCTCCTACAGAAGATGATGCTGTGGACAAGGCGGATTTCCTTATTGAATTATTCCTTACCCACCCAGACCTGCCTCCTTAGTTCCTCTCTGGTCACACCTTCCATAAAGCGACTGTGGATCATGGCCACTAGAGGGCAGACATGCCCAAAAAGTCAGGAGCGCTAGGAGGAAGGAGGAACTTTATCCTGTCCATTTCCTCTCGATCTCATTCACACAGGACTCGAAGAGGCACTCCTGGGTCTGCAGAATAAATGGCAATAATTACCATTTATATTTCCACTGAACAAATACATTCCAGATCACATTCCATTTCATCCTTGGCACAGCCTCATCAACTAGTGCTTTTTATCATTTTCATTTTACAGAAACACTTAAAAAGGAATGAGATGAAGATTTATATTACTATCAATATTTTTCTACATTGTAGAGTCTTGTTGGAACTGTGGAAAGCACTGATCCCTCAAGACAAATTGGTCTGATGGGATAAGCAGCCCAAAGGATAGAGTGTAGACACTTAGAGGGAAAAACACTGTCTTCTTCAGCCCTGGGTTTCTCACAAACAAGAAATATTAATTAACTAATTTTAAAAAAAGAAACTCAAAAACTTACTGTGTCGAGTTTACTACCGTCAAGATTTTGCAAATGAGACTCCTTGGCATTATTATCCGACTGTATAAGCAAGATATCTGAAACTCAGAGAGACTCACATTAAACCACAAAGTTTTTCAGTGAAAATAAGTATGACTTGCACTAAGTATTTCCTTTTTGAACTCTTTTTACCAAACCTCATGGTAATTGCTAGATCCAGAATCCACAGAAAAATTAAAGTCAAAAGAGACACAACCTGATAAATAAGTTCTAGGAGGCTGGGTATGTCACTCACAGGAAGAGTCAATGTTTTGTCCACCCCACTCAGTTTGACCCGAATTAGAGAAAACTGCTAACCTCACCCTGTTTCCAGGGTTTTAGCATGTTATAGATAACAACAAGGCATTGGAAGAATACTTTTGAAGGCTTATATTAAAGGAAAGGTTAAGAAAAGCAGATTCTAACTAGATCATTAAGATGACCCACCACAGAGTAGCTGCTAAGAACTTGTACCAAGCCATGTTGATGATATCTGAACTAAGATGATGGCAAACACTGGTTTGAAGTTTCACTGGATGAGGAAGAAAGTGTCATAAAGAGCTTATTCCATTTAATTCTCTAACCAGATTCCAATCTTTTTACTCCAGGGGCCTTGAGAAGACTCTTTAATTGTACTTCCTAGTCATTTCTCTGCCCGACAAGCTTATTCCATGCTGGTGAACTCTTGGTTGCTGCTGCTTTGGTTGATATTCCTTTTGAACTATCTGTTTCATTCAGACATTTTGCTCATTATTTGTGTTAAACTATGATTGTTAAAAATTGGTTATGCCCATTTCCATCCCTACAGTGCTGCTTGTCTCAGGTGGTGAGATCTGTGTGTGGTGGTTTTCCATATAGCAGGGGTCACTGTCAATGTGCGGCTGGAAACGGAGCTCAGACATAGTTTCAAGGTCCAGCCTGGTACTCTATTGATAGATGCTTTTTACAGTTAAAATCTAACATGCTAATAGAAATCTAAACCTCCGCTTATAAACTGTTTTGAGAAGTAGCTCAGGAGTGATCTAAGATATGGTGCCCAGTGATGGATTCATTCTTTGGTGGTTTGCTGTTAATTCCCTGTCCCTTTTCAAGTGACAGTATTTTGTGTAGTGTAAGAATTTGCTACTTCCTTCAGTAAGACATTTAGAAATGGCTTTCTCCATTTCTCCACTGATGTATCCAGTGTCCAGAGAGCAAGGATGAGAATGCTAAAGTGTCCATTTCCGTAGAAAGTGTTGTCCCTAATAGCCAGGAAATCTATTAATTAAAGCTCAAATAATATTCAAAAAAATCTCCATTCACTTAAAATTCAGACATTTTTGGAGGGGCATAGAACTAAGATATACTTTTATGTCATGTGTAGGGGAGAAAAGACTTTACTAAGTATGCAACTTTAATCAGTGTATTTTTTCCATTTTCCATCCCAATGAATTATTTTTTCCAATTTTACATATATATTTTTTCTCCCATCTAATTGATCTGATTATTAGCTAAAATTTTCAGAATTAATTGAAAGATACACTGGCTTTGGTGCTAAAAATAATAGAACAAAGAGAGATCCTAAACATTCTGGTAGTATGTAGAAGTGGGGTGGGATTCTAAGACTTCTGCTCTGGATGCATAATTTTCACTATTCTTTAGAAATCAGAATACTAAGGACATGACCACAACATGGATATGGAAATATGGTGACAACATAATGCTGTATGGAATTTAAGAAGTATAAATGAGGATTTATGTATATTATTTTTCCTATAATTAACCTTACAAATTAAACTGTCCACACTTCAAATGGGCATTTTATTTTATTTTCACCAAACATTCCTTTGCTCCTCAAATGGTTTAACTTTATTTATGTAGTCCAACATAAGGTCAAGCATTAGCCATTATGGAGTATGTATTATCACATACGCACATAACAATTCCTTATCTCTATAGCCATGTGCTCATAAATGCAAACTGGATGCACAAGTAGGAAGAAATTCATCATTCTCAGTTTGGGTTAACACATTTATATGGTCTCATGATGAGCTTGAAGCCAGACACAGTAGGTTTGTCTTTCCCCATCCCACAAAGACTCATAAAGACCAGATCTGTTGAAACATACCCAATCCACCCTTGTTTGTTGAAATCATTCAGCCATCAGCACGTGCCTTGTTCTGTTTCTTCTTGTGGATCCCTAAGCTCCAGGCTTTGCACACTGCATTTTTCCTTCTCAGTCTATTCCAAAACCAGTTGGTTAACATATGAAAACAAACACATCTAGGTTAGGCATTCCTCTGGATGTGCTTTTTTTCTTCTTGCATCCCAACCCACAAAAGACAGCAGCTGCCAAGAACTACCACACTCTGGCCTTTAAAAGCATAGTGCCTGGTCCCAGATCAAAGATTTTTATTTATTGGATGTTTGTAAGTATCCTGGAGCTAAACACAGAATTGTTTTAAAGAACTATTCTCTGAGGAGAAACCAACTTACACAAAAGTGAAGTGAAGACTTAGACCCTCATGGCTTCTCCCTGCCCTCAGGATACTTCCTGCCTCTTTGACTCTTCATCCCGACATTCAAGGCCCTCCTCACTGAGGCCTCGCTGCCTCTCTAGTCCTTTTCCACAACTGCTCCAACATGATCCATCTGCTGCCTAATTTTTTGTCCTTCTCTATGCCTGGAATGCACTTTCTTCTTGATTTATCCAAATGCTATTTCACCCCCTGTGCAAACCGCTCCTTATCCCCTCTGAAATCTTTCCATACCTCTTGGATCTACTTCCCTTCTCTGAATTCAGACACTTATTTATCCGTATGGTTTATTTCCCAAATGTCATATACTTAATTATGACTTTGTTTTATCATTGACTTTTTATATTATTTGACTTGTTGTGACCTTTCTTCTCAACTAGACCCTACGTTTCCTGAGGGCATGGGCCCTGTTTGTCACATCTTTGTCTCCCAATAGCACCTAACAGCATGCAGTAGGAACTCAATATATATTTGTTGATAACATATAAGGACAAAGAGCTCAAGAACCTCTAGAAGTCTATTCTCATGAGAGACTGAAGATAAATATATATATACATATATTCAGTGATACCAATTCTCTGGAGAAACAGGAAAAAAACCCACCTCTCCTCATGGCCTGAGTGTCATTTGCATGCTCTAGCTCCTCCTCTCCAATCTGCCTCTGACCACCCTTGAAAGAGGCCCAAGTGGAGAGATTCTTTAGGCTGCCCCTGCTCTGCCTTCTGCCCTCTTCCCACTCCCCATGCCTGGACTTCTCTGGGTCAGTGATTTAGCACTCATCTTTCACTGTCCTGTGTTTTTCCTCCAAAGAGAACCCATGAGCAATGATCAAGTCTAAATGCCCTGTGTCCCAAGTCTGCTTTTCCCCCATTATTGCATGGGGTGTGTAACACATCCCTCTGGTTATTCATGCTTTCCCATAGTGTCATCCTTGTAATGCTTTCACCACTCCCACTCAGCCTCCTTCCTCCTAAACCCTTATATTCAGCTGTCTTGCACTCCCCATTATCTACAAACTCCCCTGTGTCCTCACACCACTCTGGGAACCCCTTCCTCCTTTCCACATCTTAACTGTGACCAGCTCTCTCCTGGTGGCACCATTTCTCCTACAGTGCCAAGAAGCTGCTCATTTTCTCACACCCTTGTTAAATGAGATAGAATAAATCACAGCTTGGTACTGAGTAGGGGTTCCAGAAATGGTAGCTATTAGTAGTCCATTATTATAATTATCATTGTTGTTATTCCTCAGATCAGGAAACGAGGTCATCATCCTCCCCACTCCTCCATCTTCTGGTGAAGACCCTGCTCTTTGGAGTGCATGCTGCCTGGGAATATTACCCTTGATTCCCTATTAGAACTGTCCGTGGGGCCTCTGGCTCATAGATAACATGTTGTCTTCCCGCTCTCCACCAGCCCCACCTCTTTGCACTTGCCTCCCTTTGCATTGTAGATTTGGGATGGTGTAGCATCTCCATCCCACTCCTGCCCAAACTCTAAATTCTCTTGTCCATTGTCCTTTATTTCTGAGCTACCCAAACAAATCTCATCCCTGCATGGTATCAATTTTGCTTTCTCTGTGACAGCACCTGAGCAAGTAAGCCCCAGACTCAATTTGTTAATGTTTATAAAGGAGTTTTGTCATGTATTTTATAAGATAGATTATTCTGAAGTTTTCTTTCCGCAATACATTGTTCAAAGCAACATGTAATTTCAGAGAATCTGATTTGCCCCAAACCCTGATAGCAGTGAAAACATTGACATGGCCACAGGCTTCTCGATGCCTAATACTGTGGCTGCAGGTCTTGAAAATAAATTGGGAAGAGTTTTATCTTTTTTATTCTGTTAAAGAGTTTTAATAGCACAGGAATTCAACTGTCCCTTAAAAGTTTGATAATGATTAAGGCTGATTAGTTTTCATGTGGAGTTTTCACCTTTGAAAGTGAGAATCATTAAGAAATGGAAGTTATTTAAATTGACACAGATTCAGTAATAGAACCAGGAAGGAACACTTGACTTTAAGCACTTCTTTGAGTTCTAGATTGTTCTTCAACTATTTACTGTTTGTAAATAGTTGGGCCTTTCGTATTGAATTGCCTGGTAATTGACTATAAATAAAAGCAATTATTTAAGAGATGGCTGAATGGCTTACTTGGGCACAAAATTCCATTTCTCTTACCTCAAGACTATTTCAGACATATATTTCAGACTATATCAGACAGTTCTGTAACTTACAAATCCTGCCTGAGTTTTCAGCCTGCTGGTCTTCCCTACAGATTTAAGACTTGCCAGTCCCCCAGTCACATGAGTCAATTTCTTAATAAATCATATACATATGATGTATATATATAATACAGATACATATTACATAAATACATGAACACACAGACACACACTATTGGTTCTGTTCTGGAGAACACTTACCAACATACATAATCCAAAGTTTTCTGCATTTATAACTGTCCCTTCACTTTCCATGGACCATGGTCTATAGTTATTTCCCTTCCTTTGAAGTCCAAAGTAACATAATCTATCATTCAGTAGCTGAAGTTTTATAAGCACTTAGGAGTACCTAAACCCTCAGGTGCTTTCAGACAATAAACTCATTCAGTTTGGGGACGGGGGGGACAATATTTTTTTTTTAAATAGTAAGACCTGGGATAAGGTTCACAAAATTATATAAAATGTTTTAAATCTATACAAATATAATATATCTATTATAAATCTATAATGTAGAAAATCTATAAATACTTGGTGCATCATGCTTAGGGCACTGATTCTTTTTTTGGTTCTGATTTTTCTTAAACTTCATTCTAATTAGATATGATCTCAATTTGGATTTTTTTTTTAAGTCAAAAACAAAACTGGGGAAAAAATATGGTCATTGTTAATCTCCTTGAGGAGGAATCACATACGGAATGTTTAACTTCTTTTTGTAATGAACATATGTTGCTCTTATAATAGAAAAAATAGCTTCTGAAAAACAGAAATACTTGCTTATATAGAATACAATTAAATAAGAGTTGGAAAATTTGAATAATGCGGATGAAATTAAAGAAATAGGGGCGCCTGGGTGGCTCAGTCGTTAAGCGTCTGCCTTTGGCTCAGGTCATGATCCCGGGATCCTGGGATCGAGCCCCGCATTGGGCTCCCCACTCAGCAGGAAGTCTGCTTCTCCCTCTCCCACTCCCCCTGCTTGTGTTCCCTCTCTGGCTATCTCTCTCTCTGTCGAATAAATAAATAAAATTAAAAAAAAAAATTAAAGAAATACTGAAAAAAATTAAGAAATTGAAAACTTAGGGGTGTAGGAATATAAGTTTATTTCTCCAGGGCCACAAACAAATATACATGTAGGACAGACAGAGGGACAGGAGTATAGATAACAGAATTAACCATCACACAATGGAAGGAAACAGATTTAACTTTCTGGGAGAGCCAAGCCCCAAAGTTCTGAACATCAGTTAATGGAATATGACACTCTTATTAAAAAGTAAGACTGTTAATTGGGGCCCGGGGTCCTTGGAGTATCAGCACTATGTCAGCTCATCAGCGCCAGCTGGGAATACCCCAAATGAAATGGAAAGATGAAGTTAGGAGTGGATGAACAAGAAGAAAGAATTTGGGAACAAAATGCTATCCAGAGAAACTGAATGATAAAGAAACTAAATGACTCATCTCTTAATGCTGATTTTTTTTTTCTTTTAAAAAGGAATAGCCGTCCATAAGAAGTTAAATTGAAATGCGTTGAATCTGACAACACAACCACAGAAGATGAGAAAAATGTTCAGAAATATATGTGAACTTTGAGAAACTTTACCAATCAAATGCCACCCAAGGAAAGAAACCCTTCTGGGATAAAAATCCTTTTACTGAATCGTGTAAAGGCTTTAGGAGTGTTTCAGAAGAAAGGCACCCTGGAATGTTTAAGTTATTTTTATCACTTTTATTGGAAAGGCCATTTCTCTGCTCTAAGGCTGAATTTTCTGATGCAAGTTCGGTGGCTTTGGGATGAATCTGAATGCAGTTTTCAGAGCAGTGAGAAAAATCATGCAGTGTTAAGATGCCAAGCTTCCTCCAATAAATCTTTTGAAAATAACTGATAAAGATGCTTAGGGCTTTTCTGAATTCCTGTGAGGTATAGCATTCAAAGAAGCTGGTAGTTTGGAACAGTGCTTTCCTTTGATTATAGACTGTTGAATTCTCAAATGCCACATAGCAATATAAGAGCAAAATATATTCATTTTTAACTCACAGTGGACAAAATACATAGGTACAGTCTTCACTTTGAGGCTGAGGAGGTAGATGTGGATGCATCAGTCAAGTTATCTTGTTGACTGATCTTGATGATCATTACCAATGCCATGGCCATCAGGAGGGAGGGAAATGATAGTATAAGCTGTTTCAGGCATTTGGCAAAGATAATCAAATACCAGGAGGAAGAAATGGGATAGAGCAGAAACAAATACAACAAAAGTCCTCATAAATCAAGAGATCCAATCTGGCCAATGGCCAATGACCTACATAATAGCACATAGTAATTAATATCATATGATTCTAATACAGGGGAAAACATTGTATTGTTTCTGGAGTTTGGACATTTTGTGAATTTTGGGGGTTTTAGGATTTTAATGCTGCTTTGTAACACAATTTGAACTTTACTTTTCAAAAAGATTTAAATTTATTTTGAGAGAAAGAGAGCACGAGTGCAGGGAGGGGCAGAGGCAGAGGGAGAGGGAGAATCTCAAGCAAACACCACACTGAATGCAGAGCCCAGTGTGGGGCTCGATCTCATTACCCTGAGATCATGACCTGAGCCAAAATCAAGAGTCAGACGCTTAACAGATTGAGCCACCCAGACACCTCTGAACTTTACTTTTTAAAAAATATTTATTTAAGTAATCTCTACCCCCAACGTAGGGCTCAAACTCATGATCCCAAGATCAAGAGTGGCATGCTTCACCAGCTGAGCCAGCCAGGCAGCCCCCCAACTTTTTTTTTCTTCACAAATTGAACTTTAAAATTTCTCCTATATACCAAAAGTCATTCACTTAATAATAACAATAGTCTACACATACCATGCTTCTTATATACCAGACATCATAGTTTACAAATACTATCCCACCATAATCCTTTAAGATAGAGGATTGTTTCTGCCCCCATTTTGCAGAAGAGAAAACTGAATCACAGAGAGGTTAACTTGCCCAAGGTTATACAACTATTTGGTGGCAGACCTGGGATTCAAACCCAGTTAATCCAGCTTAAATATCAAGGCCTTTATACTACTACACCACACACTGCAGTTTATATTTTTATTGAGCATCTATTAAGGACATAGCACTTTGCTTATTTATGTAGATGATGTGAAGTATGAGACAGGATTTTTTTTTTTAATTCTTTTAATAAATAACATTCAGTATTTTTCAACTTTCCAAAACCCATGCATGTATACATAGCATTGCTTAGCGTTTTGCCTCAGTCTTTGGTGCCATCTGTACTGAAAATCCCCCAAATAGTGAAAATAGCTTACTGGCAGAGAAGAGCTGATAATAGGACACTTAATACGCATCTTTCCCGACGGTAAGATCTGGATCCGCTGGAGCAAACAAATGGCTTAGTGATGGCTCTCTGGGCTGTAGGCTTATGCTGCACATTCCTACTCTGATATTAGTAATGAGAGAGCTCCCCTAGCCTCCATGCCCAGTCCACTCCTCTGTTTCTCCAAGAGACAATTTCCCGGTGGAAAGTGGCATATTAAAGGCCAAGACTCATCTCTGGATTGCCTTGGATCTCCTTTCACTATAACTAAAGTCTAATAATAATAACAACAACATTAATTAGACACATATGTTGCTTAGCACTGCCCTATACAGCACTGATTTGTTATAATATTCTCACCACAGAAATATTTTTATTAAAAATAGAGACTATATAAAGCCATTATAGTGAGCCAGAGTATAATTAGAATGGTGAAGCATATGAAATTACCAAAGGCTCTGAAGTTAAATTCAACCTTTCTGACCTACAAAAAAAAAATGTTTTCTTATATACAATGAGTATAGTACATAGAGTATCCTAAGTTCTTACCCAATGAACCAACTTCCCATAGGGCGCTTTACTTAATCTCAATGAGGTTTAACTCTCTGGTCTTTCTTCCATTATTGGATATTCTTGTGGTCCAACTCTGACTCACCAAATTAAAAAGGGTACACAGGTGACAGGGCCTCAGATGCAGCAGAGCTTCACGGAAGAGCTGAAGGATGATGTGAAATGCAGGCTTAGTGGCTAGTGGCCTTCCCAAGGGAATGTCAGAAAAGCACAAGGTGAAAATCAGCTGCCACGTAGAGGGCCATGCAAGAAATAACACATTATGAAGAGCATCATAAGCATCGTTGTTGCACTGGAAAAATAGAACAGAGACATGTCACAACTTTGGGAAGTATAAGAAGAATGAGTAACTGTCAAGATTGCCTTTTCATAGGGATTATCCCTGGCAACCCATGTTTCCAGAAAGAATTCTCTATATTAAACAGGTATGTATAGAATAACAATGATTAGTCTATACTTTGTGGGGACTATGATGGGCAAGGCCCTGTGCTAACTGCTAACTGCTCTGCATGTATGTATTAGGGTTCTCCAGAGCGACAGAACCAGTGGGATATTGCGATCTGCTTTAAGGAATTGCCTTACACACTGGTGAGGCTGACAAGTTCAAAGTCTATATGGCAGGCCAGCAGGCTGGAGACTGTCAGGTGGGAGCTGATGCTGCCATCTTGAAGCAGAATTTCTTCCTCCTCAAGAAATCTCAATGCTACTCTTAAGGCTTTTCAACTGATTGGATGCTGCCAATTCAGATTATAGAGGATAATCTCCTCTACTTAATGTCTTTTGATTATAGATGTTGACTGCATCTACAAAATACCTGCAATCCCTAGATGAGTGTTTAACTGGGTACTATGGTCTAACCAAGATGACAGCTTAAACTAATCATCACAACATGTATGCTATTATCTCCTCGTGAAAAATCTGTGAGGATGGTATCATTTTATCCTCATTTTACAAATAAAAAAACAAGTCCAAGAAGGTCAAAAACTTGTTCAAGGTGATAAAATTTGTAAAGGATGGAGCCATGTTTTGAAACTAGGGAATTTAACTTCAGAGCCTGTGAATTTAATCACTGGGCTCTTCTGTCTCACCAAGTAGCAAGGATTTTATGCTAAGGAGGCAGAAGTTGAAAAGGCAAAAGCCAGCAAAATGTAAAGCCAAAAAGAGGTCAGTATTAGAGAATCACAAGCTTTCCAGCACCATACCCCCTCCACCCCAGCCATCTCACCATGCAGTGAACACAAGCTGAGACATATTAAATGAGCCACTCTATAAATAGAAGATTATAACATAGTACATACAGGGGTACCAGCTTGTGTGAAAAAAAAAGTCAGATCAAATTGGATTACACATAAGACAGAAATTAGAGGGATGCATTAAGAAGTCCTTCTTTCTCCCATTCCACATGGACTCCTTCCAAGGTTTCATTCCAATGGCAGCATTAGCAGTATCTGGGAAAGCTGCTCCCTCAGAGCTGTGACAACGTGGACGTGGAAGGATGTGGGACTTGGGGACCCCAGGGAAAAGCAAGTTGACAGCTAGCTGGAAGGGGATTTTACAGTTGCAGGAGGACTCTCCCTCACCTCCCAAACAAATGCCTCTCTCCCACTGTCACCCTCCCTTTCCCATAGACACTGGAGGCACTTGCAAAACCTTTCCATGTCCCTAAAACTCTCAGCTCTGCTTGCAGATATTTTAGCAGAAGACCTTGTTCCCACCTTGGGAGAAAAATAGAGGCCAGCAGAGTCTACCTTCCTAAACATCTTCTCATACCACCACCAAACATAGATCTGTACTAGTCCTCCCTGGCTTCCTCTGTAAGATGACCCCTTGTCTTATGCTCTGGACTCCAAATATCATTGCCATCCATCAGCTCTAGAACATGCCTTGTCAGTCTCAATTTCCTTTCCCTCTCTTATTTTTTTCAACACTTTTAGTTTTTTTTTTTCTTTCCCCTCTGCCTGCAAGTAGAACAAATGCTTCCACCACCTTAAAAAAGTACCTTGTTTCTACATCATTATAATAAACATAAATAGATTCAAATGCTTTACAAATCAGAAAATTTGATCAGAGAAGATGGGATAAAACAATTATATTCTGATTATAATAAATACATCTTACATATAAGGTTATAAAGATTATAGGGGCACCTGGATGGTTCAGTCGGTTAAGCGTCTGCCTTTGGCTCAGGTCACAATCCCAGAGTCCTGGGATCGAACCCCACATCATCGGGCTCCCTGCTCAGCAGAGAGCCTGCTTCTCCCTCTCCCTTTGCCCCTCCTCCCTGTTTGTACTCTATCTCAAATAAATAAATAAAATCTTTAAAAAAATTAAAGATACTGTAGATAAAAAAATAGAAAAAAATAAATTCCTTCCAAACCCTAAGCAAAATATGGTGTATATCACATAAAGAAAACACTGAGACAGGAAATATTACTAGAGATAAGGAAGTTTCATAGAGATAAAAAGTTCAAATTAACAGAAAGATATAAAAAATTGTAAATCTGTATATGCTTAAATATACTCTTTTAAATTTGCATATTCTTCTAAATATAGACAGCAAAAATTAACAAAAGAGGAAATATATATCAGTAATGTACTGTGGGTTTTAACACACCTCTACCAGTAATTTACAGAGCAAGCAGATACACACACAGTAAGATTTCAGATGGTTTGATTAACATGATCTGACATATCAATAAACTGTGCTATCACTTGACTGTAGAAATGCATTATCCCTCTTCCTACAGATACACTCAACCAAAACAGGCACACACATATACCCAGAGACATTTACAAGAATATTTATAGCAGCACTATTTCTAATTATCAACAACTGGAAACAGGCAATGGTATCAAGGCAGATGAAATAAATGAATTATGGTATTTAAAAATATATATGCCTTACCTCAATTCTGCTTCTCCTAGAGCGACCAAAACTTTTCTTTGTTTCCTTATCTGACAGTCTTGAGTACAAATATTTTCAGAAAAAAAAAATACTAGCTCTATTTCCTCATGTCTATTGCACTGCTCAATCCTTAGCAATATTCCCAGCCCCCATCTTGCCACAGAAATTTTTCTGGACAAGGCAGCAATTACAAAACTCCATTTATCTTGTTTCTTTTTTTTCCCCCCATTATCTTGTTTCTTATACCTGTTCTACTAGGTTGGCTTCTCAGCATCACGTGAAACGGATGGTTACTCCCTTCAACCTAACAATTCCTTTTTTCTTAATTTATTTTTTATTTAAAAAATTTTTTTAAATATATTTATTTTAAATTTTAAATTTTTAAATTTTATTTTAATCCCAGTAGAGTTAACATGCAGTGTTATATTAGTTTTAGGTGTACAATACAGTGCGATTCCACAATTCCGTATGTCGCCAGTGCTCATCACAAGTGCTCTGTTTAATTTCTTGATTTCTCTCTTGGTTCTTTTTCTGTTGCTAAAACCTTTTCTTTTTCCTTTTTTTTTTTTTTTTTTTTTTTTTGTCTTCCATATCTTCCACAGCCTCTTGTTCATCATTGCAGGTACACTGAGACCTGAGGCCTTGTCTCTCCTCATGCTAGGTAACGATATTCAGTCCCACAACTTTAGTGCCATGTCTGTGTTGAGGCAGTAGGTGCAGTTACATGGTTGAGCATGGACTCTGAAGTCAGATAACAAGTTAACTTTGCCCATCAACGTCTCTAAACCCCAACCCTTCTCCTGAGCTTTAAGCAGATGCACCCTAAAATAAACTTGACCCAGGTCATATCTGTGCAGTGAACCAATTTTCATCCCTTCACATCCATAAACTGTTGAAAGCTCATATCCTATTCTCATAGGATACATATCCAGTTTATGTATTTCTCAGATTTGCTTGTCTATGTTGTCTGCTGGGTGATACAGAGGACCCTCCAGGAAGATCACTTGGCACCAATGGCATTCTTGTTGGTGCAGAGAGCTGATGTCCATCTTTACTGAAGAGAAGCTTGCTGAGCTCTGTCCTTGCCCTCATGAAGGAAGCTGATCTCTTGTTGCACCAGGCTGCCCGGCACTTGGCCCTACTTCAATAAGCAGCTGCTTTTGATTTCCCATGTTGCTAGAAGCAGAACCAAACCATGCCTCATTTCACACCTCTGACCTCACACTGCAAGTATCTCTCTTCTGTCCTTGTGCTTTGCCATCATTGCTAAAGTATAGATGCCAGAAGCTTTATAAGCTCCCCAATCCACCCATCCCACTGGCTTTCCAGGATGGGTCTTTCAGAATGCAGTTTGCAAAAAGGCAGGCATGAAATGTTGCTAGCTCATGCCCTTTCACTAGCTAAATGCCACTGTTCTTGGGGAAAAAATAACCAGAAATGTGGGGGTGTTACACCCCAATGGTGGAGAAAAGGGGAAACTGTTCAGTGAGCAAAAGGAGATTGAAAGGAGCCAACAGATTCTTCTCCCCTTCTCCCTGAGAGAGTATTCTGGGACCCACTATTTTCATTTTCCTTCTCTGGAGTTGTCCTACATGACTGAGGAACCAGTAAGTTTCCTGGCAAAATCTAGACAGCTTGGAATGCACTCCTTTGTACTTGCTTTCTCTCATCCCCTACTTCACTTACCTGGTTCCTTCATTTTTGCTTCCCTGTATTACACCCCTTCGGCAAAACTTTGGCACCTAAGTTTTGACTTCTGCTCAGTACTTTAGGGAAACCACACTAAAATATTCACCATACAAGGGAAAAGGGAACATAATCCTCTTGATTCTCCAGTAAGTGCCTGTGGTTTTGCTAAGTGACTTCCATTTATCTCTTTGAATCTTCACAGAAAACTATGCAATAGATATGATTTTTCTCCTATTTCAGTGAGGAATTGAAGCTCAATGATGCTCAAGTAATTTACTGAAGGTGGCACAGCTAGGAGTGACAGAGCTAAGGTGCTAACACCCGCATGTCTGGCATCTGAGGCATTTTCTTCTCCCTATTCTTTACTGTCTCTAATATCAGGACATTGGGGCCTGGAGATTCTATGAAGGTTGTATGTGGCAATTCATTGTTAGAGTTTTCAGAAGCTTTGAGAATGATTAAGTGAAGCACAGCACCATAAGAGAGTCCTAAGATGAGAGGGTGAGCAATCAATAAAAGCAGATGGTTAAAACACCCTTATTATTTGACATTTAGATATCACTTATATAGTCATTTCTAAATGGAATCCCATTAATGAGCCAGCTAAAGGTCATGAAAGCAGCTGCTGCGGGAGGAGACACGGAGATCCAAAAGGAGAAACAAGGGAGGGGAGCTCTGCCCCACCCAAGCCCAGCTCGGCGCTCCATCGACGTGTGAAATTACTTGGCCAAGCTCATCTAGATCACCCAGATATGTCTGTTCTCCTCATAAAGATCTTTGAGAACAAAGAGTCCAAAGATTTAACTAGGAAATTAATCTTGAAGTAGAGGG